GGAACATTATTCACAATAGCCAAGATATGAAAACAAACTTAAACGTCAGTTAATGGATGAATGAAGAAAGAAAACATGGTGTATGTGTATGTGTATATATACACACAAACACATATATACATATAATGAAATAGTATTCAGTCTTTAGAAGGAAGGAAATTCTGCCATTTGAGACAACACAGATAAACCTAGAGGACATCATGCCAAGTGAATAAGCCAGAAACAGAAAAATAAATATTATATAATCATATTATCTCATTATACATTGAATTTTAAAAAAAGTAGTAGTAGTCAAACTCATAGAAACAGAGAATAGAAGAGTGGTTCACCAGGGGCTATAGGGAGACAATCACAGGAGTTTTTTGTTTTTTTTAATGGATACGGATCTTCCATTTTGCAAGATGAAAAGAATCTGGAGATGGATGGTGGGGATGGTTAGGTAATTTTATGAATGCATTCAAAACCACTGAATTGCACACTTAGAAATGGTTAACATGGTCACTTTTATGTTATTTGTATTTGACCACAAAAAAATATCAAGGGGAAAGAAAGAAAAAAATAGTATCTTGCCTGGATTACTGCTATAGCAGTCAAACTAGTCTCCTTGCTTCCATCCTTATTCTTTTAAGTCTCCTCTCCACAGAGCGGCCAAGATGAAAATCATGAGTTTATGTCACTCCTCCAATAACTTTCTACCTCAATGGTAATAAAAACCTTTACTATGACTTATAAGGCCCTATGTGATCCGGTCCATTACTATGTCTCCAGCAATGTGCCCCTAACCCATGCCTTTCCTTGAATACTCCAAATATTCCCATGACTCAGGAATTTTGTATTATCTCTGTTTTGTCCTTATGTGTTTATCTTCCCAAAGGCACCCATACCTCTTTCCAGTCTTTACTCAATATTTACTTTCTTAGTGAATCCTCTGACTACATACTGAAATTTTAACATTTTTCCACCATCTGCATATTCCACCGTCCTTTTATGTTTTTACTTTTAGCATTTGCTATTGTACTTCCTACTATATTTACTTACTACATATTACTTTCATTTTATTTGAAATGTTATTCTACTTATACAGTTTATCTTGTTCACATTATGACTCGCCCATGAGCACATGCCCTCCATCAAGGCAGGAGTTATTTTGTATATTTGTTTAATTATGTGTCATTTGGTCCTATAGTAATACCTGCTACATAGGTGATTAATACATAGGTGTAAAATTATAACATGAATGAATACTATTCGACATGTGAGAATAATAATAGAGAAAATTCAGTGGAAGTATAATTAACATGAACCTGGTGTTAGATAAATCTGAACTTGAATCCAGGCCCTGCCACTTATTGGTTAGGTCTTGAAATTCGGATTAATCTGGCCAATTTGAAAAGGAGATATAAGTCATTCTAGGCTGAGAGAACCATAAAAGCTAAGACACAAAATTGCTTCACACTATGCAGGGGAAAAACTGATTTAATTTGGTTGAAGTAAAGAAAACATAAAATAGATTAGTGTGAAACAAGCATGAAAATATAAATTGTTAATAGATCATGGAACTTATTGATGAAATTTAGGAGAATGGGATTGTCACAAAGGCAAAAAGAAGTGAAGAAAGTTTTGTGAATGGTATCATTAAAGCTGTTAATAAGAAAATCTAATCTGATTTAGAGGGGACTAAGCTAAAAAGAGTGATATTGATTGCAAAGCTATTTCTGTAATCTAGCAGACATGCAGTGAGCCTGAATCAGAGGGCATTATACCGAGGGGACATAACTTAATAAAGAAATATATGAAGAAAGAATTGACAATACATGTCTCCTTACTGAATATCCGATCACTACACACAAGAGAGTATGTCACATATTTAAGTCTCAAGAACTGCCGAATAACATCTTCATTTACATAACCAAAAGGACAACAAAGAGGTCTGTGAGCAATGAAACAAGGTCCACTTCAGGATATCAGTGTTTTGAGAAATCAGTGGACATCAAGATATAGATACATATCAAAGATTTGGAAATGAGGCTGTAAATCAAGAGAGACCAGAAGTAGTGAAAACATAGATACAATGATCATGGGGGCAGACAGTTTCAAGTCAAGAGACTAAATCATACTGACAAGAGACAACGTATACAAAAAAGAAGGTCAAAGGATCTCACACCAGACACTTATACTAAGGGAGTTGAAAGAGGAGTAAAAGCCACATAAGGAAAGAGACACAGGACAGTTAGAGATGGAGAAGAAGCTGTTAAGTCTAGAGGCTATAAGAAAAGTATTTCAATGACAGTACAAAACCTGAGAGGTGAGAAAAAGACACTGGATTCGGTGATGAAGTATAATTATTTGTCGAATAAACAAATGAATATATAAAGCATAGACTACAAAAAATGATCAGTGAAAGAGTCATAAAATAGTACATTAACAAGATAAAATGGAGTGGTGTGACTGGAGAGAGGAGGTGTATACCTACAGGAGTTTTGGCTAGTGTGAGGTGCCTGGAGAAAGAGACAAATGGAAAGCGAAAAAAGATATTGGGGATTTTGAATATTAGATTAGCAGTAGAATGAGAGGTATGATCAAAACATAAAAATAGAAATTCGGTGTAACTATAAAAACGATGTCCTCCACGCAAGAGTGAGTGGTAGCTAAGTGATACAATGAAGGAAAAGTTGGGGTTCACATCAGATCCTATTTCTTCTTGGTAAATTATGAGAAAAACTGATTTATAGGCAGAAATCCTGAGACAGGTACGACTGCTTCACCTAAATACATTCACAAACTGCTATAATAACTATAAATCAGATTTTCTAAGTTGGGACAGAAGGGGATAATTAATGTTTCTAAGATATTGGAAACTTTTAAGATAATTTAGGCACTTTATGTTTCCCACAGAGAACAGTCACCGCATGGCTCTCTCTTCTGTTACAGAAAACTTAATCCTTATAGACCACCAGGTAAACACTTGAATGAAACCCTCTGATGGAATCCAATCTTGCCTGTCATTTGAAGTGGATCAGATACAACCTGTAGGGGGCAGTACAGGCTCAGCCCCTCTGAGAAATTCTTCAGAAAAATTTTCTCAGTAAATAAGACAAAAACTTCTCAAACCTAACTACATGTAGCACCATTTTCTCCTGTGGTTCCTTTAAAAATAGGCAGAATATATCATTCCTCAACTGATTCATGTTTCTTCTTTTCTAAAGGATAACAATAGGTTTATTTCAGTGGCTTCTGTTAAAACAGATAAGTGAAGTGTTGAATATTTTATGATATATTACATATTTTGTAATATTTAGACAAAGGGAGAGTGAACAAATACCATCTAGAAAAATTAAGTCCATTTATAATTACTTCATTAAGGAGTCATACCTGAGCAATGCCTTAATGAGATGGTAATGAGGTAAAAATGTGCTGTCAGAGTAAGCACTGGAGAAAATCTTCTGGAAAAGGCAGCCCAATAACCTGAAAATAAGGGGGAAAATACTTCCCTCTTTGTCTTGCCTTACATGTCTTTATTTTAGGAGGAATGACACCTATTTTTTAAGGTTTGGAATTTTCTTTTGGAGTATGGTGATTAAAAAAATTAAAAAAGCCTAAAGAGTCAGGTAGAGTCAGGAGGGTGCGAGAAGAGAAGAAAGGAAAGGGTGGATGTACTTCAAATGGAGATTAAAAAAATAGTACCTCTGAACTCAGAGAGTCATTATAAGGATTTTGCTAGTTCATATGATGTATACACATAGCATATAGTTAACACTCAGTAATGTGTGGCAGAATTCTTTTTATTTACTGATAATGAAGAAACTGATGAAGTTATTTTGTTCAAGAATATACAATTGACCTTTGTGAAAATGTGGATGGGAATCTAATTGAAGATGAGGCTGAGTCACATAAACACTCTCACTCATCTCCTTTGTTCAACCTGGCAAGAAAACCAGCCAAGGATAAAGGGCAATGGGATGCCCTGAAATATGTTCCCTTGGGGAAATCTTTCAGTGTTAAAAAACTTTCAACCTCACACGTCAATTAACTGCTCCAAATAAATCACAAATTAAATACAACCACTATCTTAACAAAACTGATGAGTCTCCAAAAAGGTACGCTTTTCTCCAATGAGATCAAGACAATAATTTCTACATCCCCATTCACAGTGCTGTATTTACAAAAGTCACTTCTGCAAGAACTTTTCAAATTGTTCTTCTAAGCAAAATATATGATATTTTCTTTTAAAAGGAAGTTTTGGCAAATCCAGTAATTCTAGCACACTTCATTTCCATGTTCTAACATGTAGAGGCTATAGCTTCCTATATTTTTTGGTTTTCTACAGCATTGCAATAATGAAGGAAAACTCCACTGAGAAGATTTTTCACATGGAAAATATTGAATGGTGCATAGAATCTGACTTGGTTTGAGTGTGACATTCTTGTATAAATACTACAGAGCCTGCTATCAAGTTTAAATTAGCCAAATTAAAATATATGAAGAAGCTTGCAGCTATATTTTTCTTAAATAGAATACAAATACATATATAGAGAGAGTGAATATATAATAAGGGTGTCTACATAGAGAATACATTTCCCTTAGGAATCAGATATCTAGAAAAATCTACCCAAGTAATGTGACTAGCAAATTATATGCATTTTCTCATTCTAATAAATGAGCTCTTTTTAATGAGCTTTATGTTTTGGTATAACCATTGTAACCTTCATAAAAGCTAAACTTACAGGTAATTATATAATGAGAGTACAAATCACTATTTTGAGAATCGTCAGTCATGAAGAATCAACATATGGTTAAACCTAGAGAGTTCTCAACAGCAAAAACAGCATCATGTCAAGTATCTAATACAACTGAGACCCATGAAATGGCTCTGGATGAAGAAGGGGGAAAGAAAAAAAAAAAGGCAGAGCAAAATTCAAACAGACACAAAAAACCATGTTGGGTTATCTTGGATGAAGAAGTTCTTTGGTTTGGAAAACAGAGAGTAAATGTTGACAGACCTGTGAAGGAAATGGGCTCCGTGTGGGGTCAGAGGTGGAGACATAAGCAGCCTGTGTGTAGGCATAGCTCTTGAAGCGAGGCTGAGGAGAGGAAGGAGCTCGTTCATAGCCCTGTGCTAGACTGACAGTGATCTGCAGAAGGGTTTGGGGAAGGAGGACAGAGAGGAGGAGGAGACAACATAAGTAACCCTGAAAGGAACTGCTTTCCAACACACTAGAAAAACAAATATCAAACGGAAACAGTGAGCTGAAAAGTGCAATCCTAAACTTGTGGAAGTGATATTCGAAACTGGTACACTCCAAGCACTGCGGTGTGTTAAATGTCGTGTCGTAAAGCAGGGAGTCAGGAAGAGAGCAGGATAGGGTTTCATCATAAAGAGTCCATACGGACACACCTCCAGCACCAATACAGGATGCGTCCCTGCCATCTGGTGAAAACATGCATCCCGAAGCAATTTTCTCTGAACCCAAAGTAAACAAAACCAGAATTCATCATGTCAATACCCTGGAAAGGACTGGAGCTTTCATGAGCTAAATATAGAATTAGCTCAGTAGAGTGAGAAAATGAGGCCTGAGAGCTTTCCACGCCTTCAGCAGAAATTTCACTAATGGCTTTTTCATCGTTGTGTCAAATAATGAAAAAACAACAACAACAAAACAAAACACCCTACATATGCTTCTTGGGAAGAAGAACAAGACATGTAATAGAAGAATCCCACTGGATTCTATACAATAATATCATAGAAGTCTTTACCATATGTATTCTCATTTAAATTTTACTTAAATTATTTTAAACTAATTTCATCTTACCAAAAATGTTACTTTGAGTATTCAAAATTTGCTAATACATCAGCAAGTTGCCGCTAAAAGTAAGAAAATATTATTAAACAGAATATTTGCCTTTGCTCTTGGTCTGGTTCCCTGCTTTGTACTCTAGCTGATGGAAAGTCTAATATGTATATAACTTTATCTTTAATCTTATGTCATTTTACACAATGGAAATACAATCTATTCTGTGTACCAAATTCATATAAATGGTGCTTACCAATAGCAGAGCATTTTAAAAATGTGTCTTGACAACATTATAGTTCATGAATCAGGTAAAATTTAAGTTCATAGAGTCCTCTCTCTCATTGTCTCTCTCCAAAGACACACATACACACACACACACACACACACTCTAAGCTAAGCTGTATATATACTTTTGCACATATATGCATGTATGAACATGTATACATATACACACACACCATGCTACATATATATATGTATCTATCCATAGATAATATAGATATGTGTGTACGATAACTAAAAATCCATATAAAACAGGAGATATCATGGGTATTAGCTATCTCTTCCATCTTTTACCTGTTGAGAGTAGTGCATTTGATGATGTAGTTGAAAATGTTCTTCCCTTGTAACTTTTGATGTCCTTGGCAACATTTCCACCTCCTGGATGGCTTCGAGGCTCACTTGTTGAGGCAAAACTTGGAAGAGAGATGTGACGTACATTAAGATGGACTTCTTATCTGGATAAGTGGTGGCAACATCTGTAAGCACATTAACACCACATATCAATTTTGAGTTTCTATGTCTGAGTCTCTAAAAGGGGATGAACAAATCAATGTTACAGGAAGAAGATGGATTAATGAGCACTTGATTGTCCATGAATGTCCTCCAGAGACTAATTAGAACATGATAATTAGGCTTAAAATGTACTTCCAATTTGGCAGACCAATGAGATGCACACTAAAGTTAATTTCTTTTCCTTGTTCACATAAAAACTTCATTCCACAATACTTTTTTAAAGTCAAATTGCTAAACCAGCCCATCTGAGAGAGTGGTTTTCATTAGATAAGAAACAAAAATAAAACACTGCGTCTTCCTTACCATGGAAAGTTATAACAGCATGTCAATTAAAATGGTGCACTGGTAATTAAACAATTACACCAAAGAGCTTAATGCCCTGGCTTCCAGTAAAGAAAGCTCGTACCTCTTAATCAAATTTTTGCTGGTGATTAAGCATGTAAAGAGCAAAATAATGTCTCTGTGTTGAAATGAGCCATGTATTTCTACAATCAAAATAAAATAAAACAACTATATACCATATGCACAATGATTTGTAATATTCCTTAAGTATATTAAAAATATTTGTTTACATTATGGTACATCTGTTAAAGTCAGATGTCGCTTTCCTTCTCAGATGTTAGAGATAAATTTAAAAGTCCTTCACATAAAGTTGATCTGACATTATGTCCTTTGCCACATCTAGGGAATGAAAGAAACCCAGTGTTTAAAGTCAATAATAATTCATAATAACACATACAATAAGTGGCAGCTACTTCAAAAGCTTCTTTTGCTTCTTGGCATTACAATTTACCCACTGTGCTCATTCCAGGGAACCAAAATGTAAAAATAATCCTTTATGTGAAGTGTATCATTAATCCCAGAAGTGTTAAAACATAAATCCTGGCAGGAGGCCAAGACAACTTAGCAGCAATGTGCCAGGCATTTCTCTTGCCATAAATTTATCCTAGCTCAGCTAGCATGAAAAGATCTGTTTTAAGCTAAATATGTATATTCCGATCAGGTGTTCTGATTATAAGTTAAAAAGCCAAAAGTCAAATTTCAAGTCCAAAAGCATAAAAGGAGGTTGAGCAGGTCACTCAGTCAAATTCCTCCACTAGTTACAGGAACATGATTAACCAGAACAACTATTTTTAAAGTATTTTTCAAAAGAGTTAAGGAGGAGGGAAAAGCTAGCTAATGTTCCTTGGTCTGCTTCTATCCATAGTATAACACAGTGCTGTTTAATTTTTAATGTGCATATGAATCACCTGGGGATCTTTTTAAAACTCAGATTCAGTAGGTCACAGGGGGAGCCTGAGGCCCTGCATTTCCAACAAGCTCCCAGGTGATGCTTGAAGGCCATACTTAGAATAACAAGGGTCATAAAAAATGACACAGAAACACACTCTTGTATTATCTTCTGCATCATTGTTTTGCTTACTTGTTTTCAGAAGATACTTATTGGACACTTAAACGCATCAGGCTTCCCTGGTGGCTTAGATGGTAAAGAATCTACTTATAAGGCAGGAGATCAGGGTTCAATCCATAGGTTGGCAGGTTTCCCTGGAGAAAGAAATGGCAATCCACTCCAATATTCTTGCCTGGAGAATTCCATGGACAGAGGAGCCTGGTGGGCCATAGTTCATGGGGTTGCAAAGAGTCGGATGTGATAAAGTGACTAACACTTCAGAAGTACAAAGCTATAAAATACATGGTCTCTGCTCCCTATTATAATTTATTATAATTTAATTATTAGCCAATGGATGGTGAAGATAATTTTTTTGCAAATATTTTTAGGAAAGAACTAGAGAATACTGTGTGTATAAGTTCTGCCTTTTTTAAAAAAAAAAAATTAGTAGCTTAGCTTTGAAATTCTACAATCTCCCTTTCATTTCATAATTGTTTTTCAAGTGTTCATTGTATAGTAGATATTATACTTTATACCATATGTTTCTGAAACTCTAGAATGTTTTCTCCCTTCTCACTAGTAACTAGTCAAGTTTATCTTTAATGAGCAAAATTTAGAATTCAGTTTATTTTTTAGTGCATTAAATAAAACCATGCTGTGAGAAAGGCACTGAATTTTAAAAGACTGTCTATGTAAATAAAAAGGCCCATGTCTATTTACTGCTATATTAGACATGTGACTGTGTATAACTGGCCTCAAATACACACTGTGATCACAAGAAATAAAGGTAAAAATAGATCAAGCATTATTTCTACTGCTCCAAGCAAACGTCAAAAATTGCAGCATATGTTATATACATAAGACATCTTTTGGATGAATGTGAATATTCATAAATATTACTTACTACCATCACAATTTGACCAAACTATTGATGTTTTTACCCCAATCTATTACCATCCTACCTCTGAAGCTATCCAGGATTCAGTTGCACCAGTAGCTAGAACTCAGTATTTCCTTTTTTTATAGAAAGGGATTCAGATATTCTAAAATTGGTTGAATTCCTTCCAAATATATTTACTAAAGATGTATTATACTTTAAATATTTTAATAGATTATCCAGGAGGTTAGAATGCCTGAATGCTGCTTACAATTTGGAATAATAAAATAAGTAAGAAGAAAAGTATATTACAGTACAATGCTAAATAGAATTTAAAATGTGTTCCACTTACTGGCACAACCAGTGCTTTAATAAGTTCAGAAAAAGGAAGAAAGCATACCTTACTGGAAGATCAGATAATTCTTTATGAAAAGAAAACTGAAATAAATTTGTATAGGATTTAATTAGCTGGAAATGGAGCAACGTATTCCTCCACTGTAGAATGTACTCCTCCAGTGTAGAAAAGCATGAGCAAAAGTGTTGAAGTAGAAACAGATTGGGCTTCCCTGGTGGCTCAGTGGGTAAAGAATCCACCTGCAATGCAGGAGACACAGGAGACATGGGTTCGATCCCTGGGTTGGGAAGATCCCCTGGAGTAGGACATGGCAACCCACTCCAGTATTCTTGCCTGGAGAATCCGATGGACAGAGGAGCCTGGCAGGTCACCATCCCAAGGGTTGCAAAGAGTCAGACATGACTGTGTGACTGAGCACAGAGATACATTAGACAGGCTCCGGGAAGAGTGACTTTTGAGTGTCTTAGCCACATAATTGAGCTTAATAGGACAAAATGGGAAGCCTGCATGTAAAACCCTAAGAGATCATCAAGGCAAAGTAATCACTTGGCCTTAGCTCAATAGGTTGAAGAGTGAGTAACTACTTTCGATCCAGATTGTGACATCATTGAATTTTTTGTAAAGTAAAACCATTAAGTGCAAAATGGAAAGAAGGAGGAAAAAAAAAACCACAAAAAAAGTAGCGTCAAGTAGAAGGCTGAGACCCAATCCAGACAGGAGGTGTTATGGAACTAAAATAGGCTGTGTTATGAAAACAAGGGAATGTGTGATAGAAATTCTAAGATCCAAAATAACTGTATTCAATTTCAATTCATTTACTCCACAGTCTTTGCAGATGCCTGTATACAAGATCCTGTCCTAAGCCTTGAGGGCACAAAGATTAATAAACTGAAAATGAAATGGAGGAGGAAACTGCTTGTTCTGTAGCTATAGCAACAAATAGCTACCAATACAAGTTTCAATCTTATTTAATCAATTAACAATTACCTGCCTACAGAGTCTTGATCATGCTTCCCCAGGCCAACCAACATCAACCTCTCCCTTCTGAGGAGCCAATCAGAAGTGCGCTTGCTCCAAAATGAACAAAATTGTGAACACAAACCAATTAATGGTGGTCTCACCTGAGCAACCAATCATGCTTCTAAGAGTGTCCTCAACCTAATCCCTAGTCTGAGTGTCCACAATCTCCTGATCTCTGGGGTTCCCCTCAAATCTAAGGATTAAAAGAAAGTGAGAATGATGGGATGCAACTTTTTATTATTATTATTACATGACATTAAAATGTATAAATTGAAAGAAGTGGGTAAACCCCCAAAATAAGAACATAAAATTATATGAAAGCTATCTAAAACTCTACTATATAATGGATTCATTGCCATAATTAATCATTTTTAATCCAATCTTTGAAGCCATTTCAGAATGGAAATGTTGAGCTCTTAATATGCCAGAAAATTATTTATGAACTGTAACTTTGATTCTGATGAGTATTTCTACAGTCATCAGAATTTTGATACTGAGGACTATAATGGAAAAAAATCACTTAGGGAAATTCTCTATTTTTCAAAGAAATTGAAGTCCACAGGGGTTTGATGGCAAGTTCAAAAGCTAGATCAAGTCCAAATTAGAACTCAGTCAGTGTATCATACTTTTCAGTACCTCACACCTTCATTTTTTTCAGAGAATGTGATCTCAGTGCATTTGAAAACTGAGACTCTCAAAGTCATTATCTAAATCATGACCTGGTGATCCATGTGGTTCCATTATCAAGCATCACCTACACTCTCCATGGAATTAGTCATTTCTACTTCTAATAAGTGAGGTATAACAAGAGTAAATACACATTAAAAATGCAACTTCAGTGGCAATCAAAGAATTGCAAATTAAATAAACATGAAGGTGTTTAATTATACTCCACTGTCTATCAAATTATCAAAGAATGACAAAGGGTAACAATCAATCTGGCAGTAGCATCAGTGAAAAATATTTTGCTATGTCTAAAAACAATCATATTCAATGATCTAGTAATTTTCCTTTTAGGAGTCCACCGTAAGGAAATAATTAGATTTCTACATGAAGATTTATGTAAACAATGTGAAAGTTAAGCTCTATTTATAATTAGAAAAGATTTGTCACACAAAAAAGAAAAGAAATGCAGACCATCTCAAATTGCTTAGTAGAAAATTAGAATTAGAAATGATCAAGTGCATAATTACTTATGAATATCACAAAGCCATTCAAAATGCTGCTTTTGAAAAATATTTGATAACATGTGAAAATAAATTCTTAACAACGTAATAGTGAAACAGAAGGAAGCACAGTTTATGTAGAATATAACAGTTAG